TTTCCACGATCTTGGAATGGATGAATCGACGCTCTCTGGTTGCAAATGTAATACTTATTTATAGTGCAAGTTTCGATTAATATTAATTTCATAAAGAAAATATTAGGTGTACTGGAAAATAATGTCGTTTCTGGAAATCTGAATACTTATTTATATACTTATCATCGGATCATTGATTTTGACCGATCCTGAATTGAAAATTTGCACGGTAGATGACATAGGGCTGTTGATCGACGATTGCTTAAAAACAGATACTTATTAAGAATGAATTTGCTTGAATTTAATGTAAAAGAAAACGACACTAATATTTTCAGCTTAGTAAAGTTAGCACCCCCAAATGCAAATTTTGATAAAAATCAAATTACATTCGTTTGTCCATGTTTGTCCAACCACGATTTTCATTTTGAAACATTTTTCCGAAGGGTGGACAAATGAAAATTGTGGTCGGACAAACGTGAACAAATCGTGGACAAACGAATGCAATTTGATTTTTATCCAAATTTGCATTTGAGGGTGCCAACGTCACGAAGCTAATAGTTTCTACAATTTTGGAATGGAAGGATTTGGGCCTTAGTCCCATCGCACACGGCCGCAACCGATTTGAAATTAGTGTTGAACTTGAAATTTGAAACCGTTTGGCGCTGTTTGTTTCACCTACTCCGCTATCGTTGTTTTACCTAGATCCACGGTCGCGCGCAACTAGTTTCAGAGTGGTTTGAAACTGATTGGTTGGGCCGTGTGCGATCGGTCTAACGAAACAAGTGGTCAGCTCCCGACGATGCACGCATCTTTCGACAGGGAATTTTCCCAGGAGAGGTAAGAGCGATCTGTAAAGCGATCCATTGTAGCTCGTTCCGAGAAAAATGGACCGAACGAGAGACGCAAGAGCTTCTTGGGAGGATCCGTCGCTTCCTGTGCCCTCATTGTTCGCATCTCGAATAGCTTTTTGTGTCGAACGGTACCAACCATCAGCCGGCACAGTATCGAATATTCAGCGACCAATCGGAAAAGATTTTTCGCAATTTTACCGTGGCTGGTAACTGTTACGATAACCGATAATTATTGTTTATCGTTAAATGCAATGTAATTACTTTGAAATAGTTGTATTATGCATATCGCGGTTTTTGAACGTGTACCGAGGGATTAAGAACACGTGCATTTTTAATGCGGTATACAGTATCCGATTAGTTTTGTGTACAAAACATTTGTGTAAAATAAGCTTTTATTCTAAAATAGCGATTCTTATAAATTGATAAGCAATGAAACAAATAAATAAAAAGTGTTCAGTCCACGTAGTTGAACACTCATAGTTACAAGCTTTTATGTAAATACAGCTTTGATTTGAAAATAACGATCCTTATTAATTTTGAAAAAATTGATAAGCAATAAAACGAATAAATAAAAAAAATATATAAATATAACAGAATGAATATAACAAAATAAATCTTTCAGTGTCAGTTGTATATCTTTAGTTTAAGTTTTTTAATTTAGTTTTTTTTTTTATATCAAAACAGTGATTTAATTGATTAAATTTGACTACGAAACAATGTATTGATTATTGTTACCCATGACCTGAAAACATTTATTTTAACTAATAAATAAAGTTTTACAAATTACACCGACAGATCTATTCTGTTACATTTATTCTTCTTATATTTATATTTTTTTTATTTATTTTATATTATTGCTTATCAATTTTTTCAAACATAATAAGGATCATTATCTTAGAATCAAAGCTGTATTTACATAAAAGCTTGTAACTATAAGTGTTCCAGATTACCATGTACTCAACTACGTGTACCGATTACACTAACTTCTTACAGTGTTACCAGAGGTCGGTAATATTTATAGAATAAATATTTTAAATACTAGGGCTTCAAATAATAGATTCTTCGTAATCCGAATAAAATAGTATTTCAAATGGGATATGAAATTTCAGCAAATAAAATATTTTATTTTGATAATGTGAAACGTAAAATAAAATAGTTTATTTTGGTAATCTATAGTTAAAGCATGAAAATAAATATTTTATTTTGATAATCTAACGCATAAAATAAAGTATGTATCGTTTTAATAACATAAAGCATAAAATAGAATACTTTCCATAGTTGTTAATTTGAAAATAAACTGTGTATGTATGATACACAGATGGAGAGAAACTATTTCTTGCAAATATTATGATTTCTTGCGATTGAAGAATATTAATTTCATGAAGATTCTTGATAGAAGTATTCATTGAAGAACTACATTGAATGTATGTTTATAATTCAGAGGAAAAGTACTTCGTTCGTTTTAGATTACCAAAATAAATATATTTTTTATCCAACTTCGAAAAAGGAAGAGTTACTCAATTCGATATATGTATATATATATATTTTTTTTATTTACACTATAATTTAGTAAAATCAAATATTCCGAACTATGGTACAAATATTTTCAGTCTTTTTCAAATAAAATATTCTTTGAAATATTATCTTAAAAATTTCTTACGACAAATAAAATATTTTATTTCAAAGAATACTTGCATGATCCGAAAATAAAATATTTTATTTTGAAATAAAAATATTTATTTGCTATTTACTATTTAAAATACGTATTTTACCCAGCTCTGAGTGTTACTAAACGTAAAAGTTTTGCGCGCCAAGTATTGCCAACCAATGACGAATGGAATACGTAGCAAACTTCAAGCGAACCTAACACACTCTCAATGTTGCAACAAATGATTATTATTACGTCCCAAAATACCAGTCTCCCGTTACACGATTGACCTTTGAACCATCTAATTTTGCTAGGAAAAATAATCGCGACAATGTTTGCAAAATTATCGAACGCTGAGAAAGATCGAAGGTTACAGCCACGAAAACAAACCGTGTCCGTGAATTTCCCGTGCCCTTATCTAAGCAACAGTCCAGCGACGCGTGCATGATTAAAAATAGGAACGCTTCGAATCACTCGAGAATAATATCATAACCTCCAAACGATAAGTAAATAACTCTCCTATATTTTTAATCGAAAATGAAAACGAAGTTTCCGTAGCGCGTTTCGTCGCGAAAACGCTTTACAAAAGGGGTAGAGGACGCTTTAAAAATAAGCGAATAGAAATATCGATTCAAGTGACATTAAAAAAATGTGTAATTAAAAATATACGAGATGAACGCTAATCGAGCGTTCAGTTTTCACGCTTGATTCTACTAATTAAATAAAAACAATTAGACGATTAATCATCCACAGCAATTAGTTGTGTTTGAAAATATGATCATGTATCGTGCTTTATCTTTGAGATGAATCATCGTATACAATAGATTAATTGAAAGAATAAGTCTTGTATAGATTCGAACGTGTTTTACGAATTAGAAAAAAACATAACGGTGACACATTCAGATGAGCTGTCGATAGAAGTGGATTTTCTGTTGACCAGCGCTGGCATCGGTTATAATTCACGTGTCTATCACGTGTAAACAAATTAACTGACACTACCAACAAACCTAATTCAACGGTCCAATGAACCCTCTTTCGAGGACAATGAATCTCCTTTTATTTCCTTTCGGGTTATACAAATATCCATCTCGACAACGATATCGTATTAACGTAACAATGGTAGCATTCACTGCTTCGAGATAGACTATCTATCTAGCGTTACGCAAACTAGCGATTTTCAAAATGCAACATCAACGGATATTGATTTATTCGATAAAACATGTTCGACTTGACGTCACGACAATTTAAAAACCTTATGGTAAATAAAACGTCAACGTCAACGTTAACGTTAATACGATCTCCCTGTCGAGTCGTTAAACAAACCGTCGAACGTTCATAATCGAGATTAGACTCGTTCGAGACTAAACACTCGAGAAGCACACTATCGTCTGGCAGAACGGCGTGATTCGCGAATGCGTGTAACCCAGATAAGACTGCAATTCACCGATTTTCCTAAACATTTTACCACGAATAAAATTCGTGTACGTAAAGAAAGTCGACGATCTCTAAAATGACCCTTCCTTCTACAAGGACGTCAGCCTGATCTAATACAAACACGGAAAGCTGAAAAACCGTAATCGAGAAAAATTGTACAATCATTTCGGAACGTTGTCAGCCATAACCGGGTTAACAAAAAGAAAACCGACTCACCGAAATACTTGTCTGGCTCCAAGCCCGAATCTTTGTCCAGTCCGCAAATGACAAAATAATCCGCGAACCTCTGTGGATGTTGCTCGGGTCCGCGCATTATCCCCAGACTCCCGTTCATCTTTTTCCAAGAGAATGTTGTGGCAGATATCACCCACCGCGGTACACGAAGCACCCTCACGAAAACGATATCCACATCGCGAACCTCCACGAAACTGTCATTTCACGCGAGAGCGAAACAACAGCTGATGTTGACGCGTACCTGAACGCAACGCACGACTCTGCGGAGTGCGGACCTCTCGCCGCGAATAATTGATCTTTACTCGGCGGCGCGAAGTTGGCCGCGAGCCGTCGGGCGCCACCGGCGCGACAACTAAAGCGCGCGTAAATTTGAATTTCGAAATGGGTTCATTATCAAACTGCGCTCCGCTGACATACAGGGCCGACGTTAGGGATGGGGCATCAGATTTTTCGGGACGTCGCAGTCCGGTGTCTCTAGTACAGAGATGGGCAAAACCCTAGGCTTCGAATGAATCTAAAGTTTGCCGATATGTTTGTCTCTTTTGAACATTTTTCAAAGAAGGAAACGAGACAAACATATCGGTAAACTTCAGATTCATTCGAAACCTAGGGTTTTGCCCATCACTGCCCTAGTATACGAATATACCGATATACAGGGTATCCCAAAAATGTTGTAACACATTGAAAGGGGTGGTTTGGGAGGTGATTTGAAACAACTTTTTCCTTAGCGAAAATGTTGTCCGAGGTTTCATTAAGGAGATATTAAGCGAAAACCCAGACCAATCAGAGCGCGAGTATGCCGGTGGAGCGGCCGCGGTAGCGAATGAACGCGGCCACCTATCGCGTAGCCTACGCTCAACCGGCATACTCGCGCTCTGATTGGTCGGTGTTTTATGTTAATATCTCCTTAACGAAGCCTCGTACAACATTTTCGCTAAAGAAAAAGTTGGTTCAAATCATTTGTTGGTTCCAACATTTTTGAGACACCCTGTATATATCCCTGAAGGGGTGCCACGATAATCTTGCCCGGGGCGCCAATATTGCTAAAGCCGGCCCTACTGACATGTTCCGATATATGAAAATAAAGAAAGAAAATTTGTATATACGTACTCCTAGAAAGAAGGATGCAATGTTCCCTCAAAGAACTAAGCTTTTATATTACTTCATTGCGATTTTCTGCATCGTACAATAAACATAATTAACTTAATTTAGTGAACTTCTAAGAGAAATATATTTATTCTAAATCTTCTATGCAACGATTGCTTAGAATCAACCTCCTTCGAACAAACCGAAACCAACCTACAACAAACTTTCAAGTTGATTGTCCTAGAATTCCGTGCAGCTTGTGCTTCTACCGCAATTTTATACAACCAAATATGCTTTATATAAATCGCCTCTTTTTACTGAGAACCAATTACATAAAATAAAAACGATGATAACAGAAGAAACGGACTTCACGTTGGCGTAACTGAAAATTTGTTGCGCCATCTGCGTAATTGCACAGTGCAGAAATGTTTGTTCATTCATGGACAGGTTAGATTCCTGCAATTCAACTTGCGTTTATTAAAATACGATAACACCGTAGGAATTTTAGAATTTTCACATTTTTACGGATGATGGAGGAGGTTGACAATATAATTATTCACTCGTTACGTCAAATAGGCTGGTGAGTTGCATTTCGTAATCGTCGATCGCATATTCGGCTATTTTGACATACGACGTCGACGGCGTTTTATTGAGAACAACAATGGGCGGTAATGTTTATTTGCGTTATCGTATTTCGTGTCGTCGATTAGTATTGCATTTGTTTTGTCAAAATTACCAAACTATAATACATTGTAAATATAAGTAGACGAACGAGAAAGTTCGGAATATGCCAAGTTCTAAATCAATTTTGCCGGCTAATCTTGAAAAAGGTCACGAGACAATAGCGTGTAACGATAAATATTTGATACATGTAATCTTAAGAAAAATGTAAGTGAAATACAATCTTTTTTTACCACGTTTTAGTGACATAGAAGAAAGCGTAACAAATCTCAGTGGTTTCAATACAGAATTAGTGGTAGGAGCAACTGTAAGATGTTTAGATATAATAAGACCGGGTCTTGGAGTATCCACAGTTTTACCTGTAAACATGGCAGCCCGTTTTCGACTAGGTGCAACACTTGCTCAAGCGTGTGCAGTAAGATATCGAAATAAAATAATTATCCTCGTTACTTTCCTAATTGCTATTTTATTTTTATTGATACTTAGTTCATCGATTTAGGAATTAGGATACAAAGGTGATATCGGTTACCAAACGTTTCTATATAGTTCAGAAGCTGACCTACGAAGAGTTCTTATGTTTCTCATTGAAAAACTACCAAAAGAATGTGATAAGACCATAAACGAGCCTGTTAGCAATATCGCATTATTAGATAAATCTATAGCATCTGCAATATCGCAAGGACTGTCAGCCCCATGGTTACCACATTATTGTCATACGAAAGGATTCAGAAATAAAGGCAGAACTGATGCCCCCTACATATCTGTGAGTTTAGAAGTACCAACAACAGATGATGGAGAAGGTAATGTCGATCGCTCTATGCACCATTAATATTACTCGACTAATGATAATGAACATTTTTCTTTATTGCAGAGTATCAAGATTATTGCATACATTATCTGCAATCTGTGCCTAAACAAGTGCAAAATCAACAATCCTTTTTACCTTCTTTGATATCCTATAACGCGAAAGCTCTTCATCCGCGGTCGATGGATATTCTCGATAGAATAAATTGGTTGAATAAAGAACACTCGGATAAAGTTACTTGTGTCAGTACACCGGGTGACGTTAATGTTCTCGATAGGGTGTCCATAAAAAATACAATGATAACTTCCAAAGTAAGCTTCTTAAAATTGACACGATGTTTGTTCGTTCGTACTATACATAAGTATAATACTATACTTCATCATTAAGATCTTTATTTTATGTATAGCAACCTCAGGTAAAAAACGAGGACATTAAAGAACCTGTGCTTCCAAAACAAGAAACATTAGATAAAACAAAACAGCAGGAATTAGAAGTAGAAAAGATGAAAGTAGAATGCGAAACTATTAAAAGTAATATGGAGGAATTGCAGGATGAGATTAAAAAACTAAGTACTAGCATAACGCAAATAACGATAAACTATCAAAACGAAGAGAAAGAGTTAACGATTAACGAAGAACAGAAAAAGATCAAAGCAAGAATTTACGATTTACTTCAAGACGGAGAGGAAAATATTAAGAAACTAGGGGCAGCGATCGAAGCCACGACAAACAAATTAATTAACTTAGGTAATCAATGGGAAAAACATAGAGTACCGTTAATTCAGAAATACAGACAAGAAAGAGAAAAGCATTCGACGAAAGCTGTAAGTATTATTATAGTAACGAAAAACTGAAAATTGATAGTATTTACCTAAAATCAAAATTTTATGTATGTACATATATATATATATATAGAGTGCAAGTCAAAAGACGCTCGATGAAATAAAGTTACTAAAAGAAAAGGAAAAAGAACTTCAGGAGGAATGTCGTAACAAAGATCAGCAGTACTCGCAATTAGTAACAGAAGTTCAAAAGCTTCCTAAAGAAGTAAATAGATCTGCATATACTCAACGAATTTTAGAAATAATTAATAATGTTAGGAAACAAAGGGACGAAATCAATAAAGTTTTAGCCGACACACGGGAAATTCAAAAAGAAATCAATACGCTTACAGGCAGAATGGAAAGATCATTTACATTTGTCGATGAATTAATATTTCGCGATGCGAGGACAAATGAAGCATCGAGAAAAGCGTATAAACTGCTGGCCACGCTTCACTCTGATTGCAGCGAACTCGTAAGTTTAGTCGAAGAAACAGGTGCCACTATACGAGAAATTAGAGACTTGGAAGAGCAGGTAATATCGGCTTGTTATATAACTGGAATAACTTCGAATTTACATTAAACAACGAAACGTAATATTTTCTAAATATCGTATATTTTTTTTAAAGATCGATTCCGAATCTACGAAAAATGTTGGAGCAAATTTGGAGAGAATAACTGCTGATCTAAAACAAATGAAACAAGAAACGGCAGCATTAACTGCTCAACTGCAAAGTAAATCTTCGTGATTGTTATGTAATTTACGGTACTACGATACGAGTTGTAACAACAACGACCAGGTAAACATTCAATTAGTATTATACACATCAAAATTGACTGCTGCCGTATTTCCACATGACTTAAAAGATCGTATTGTTATATTTACAGGACATTCCTTACAAACGAATACGAAGACCAAATTTTATAGTTTTTAAAACTACAAAATTAAATATACTACTGCCTATAGAGCAGACTTCACAAATCTGTTAAGACTAATTGCTAAATGTGTACCTTGGTTCGAAGTTATGTAAAATAAATATGCTTAAAATTGGGCCAAGCATATGACAAATACTTATTCGATACCGACGCTCAAAAAGGAACGTTATTTGTTACAGAGCCTAATAATTTTTTAGTACACAATTTAATTGTATAATTAACTTTCATATTTCTAAAGAATAAGCAGCTTTGGAGAAATCTACTACTAACATATACGTAATACATATTTAAAAACCACTTCTAAGCGATTCTGTACAAAATATGAAAGATAAATAATATGTAATATATTTTTATTGTCTCTTACCATTATTATCCTCCCACAAACAATTTATGTCAACATACATTTTATTAAATAGTTATTAACTACAAAATTGTATTCATTGTTTACGATGACATCAGAAATTTAACTTCTGTTTTGCAATAGTTGGCGGTATGTACTCTTCTTCTTTCTCCAATTTCTTAAGTTTCTTTTCAGCTTTATGCATTTTAAGAACACGATCCATCTCATCTTGTTCCCTCTTTTCTATTTTCTCTATTTCCAATTCTATTTTTTCCTCATTCTCAAAGAATGTTATAAGTTTTTCTTCGTCCTCCAATGCTTTCTTCAATACAGTTAAATTTTCTATGCTCTTTTGTCGTTCTATTTCTTTTAATTGATCTTGTAACACTATTTCTCTTACTTCTCCCCAATGAATATATTTCTAAAATATTAAAAAACATTCTACTAATCATCTAAAGGAACTTTAATATATTTTTAATACTAATTACCTGTAATTGTTCGCTTATATCTATCTCTGATTGCTTGTCAACTGCCGATTTAACTTCATTCTCCAATGCTTCAATTAAACTATCTTTACACAGATTTACAGCTCGTAATTTCTCAACTTGGGACATTACATTCTTAAATTCATCTGTTACTTGCTCTTCGGATAGACTTTCATTATCCTTTTTTATCAAATCAAGAACTTCTTCGTAAACTACATTATCTTTTACTTCCTTCAACCACTGTTCTATTAGCTTCGAGATATCATCATACTTTTTATATAATATTAAACCTCTTAACTGACAAGTTCGTCCTAATGTATTATTCATAAACTTTCCATAAAAAGCTAACGTTTTTCCCACCAAATCACGTGGGTCAGTAAGATCAAAATGATCATCAAAGTAAGGATTCCTGAGATAGCTAACGCGCACTTTAATTTCTTCTTTGGAATCATCTACTGGAACCTCTGGCTTCTGCCACTTTTCAGGACTCTCCAAATGTTTGTGACAACAGTACACGCACAATGCGTTAGTTATCGGATTCCCTGAATCTTCTTGTAGCATAGGTAAAACAGCAATTTTTGCTGCGGTAGCATAATCTTTTCTTTTTATGTATGTGTCCATAAGTATATTGTAACATAAGTAGTCGGGAAAAATGCCATAATTTAGTCTGTCGTGCAACACGTTTATAAGATCTTCTGTGCAGTCAATGTCCAACAAATATCTTATGACAGCGTGGTGAGTCGACTCTAAGGTGTTCGACGTTTCAGCGGTTAACCTCAAATTATGAACTAAAGTTAACAGTTCCTCTATTTGAAATTGCTCCTTTACGGTATTCGCGAATATGTCGATGTCGATCGCACTTATTTTACCAGTGGTGGATTGTTTGTGGTCCAAGTCTATGAACAAATTTTCTGGTTTAACGTTTCGTAGTAAAGGAAATTTGAATCTATCTTTCCACGCTTCCTCGCACCGGTACGCTTCAGACAGGAACGTTCGCCTCTGTATCAGAGATTTCTGAATTCTGCAGTAAGCTCTTTGTCCACATTTCAACGTTTTCAACATTTTCGCTCGTATTCCGTCAGTTACTCATAATATTACGGAAAGCTTGTTAATCGTTCAACAGTTTGTCTCGATTCTCGACACAACAGCGAACATGTTGAACCATGGGTTAAACCAGGTTAAAGATAAACACTGCATCTCTGCGTTTCTCAAATTTCACGCTCCCGCCAATATTTATATCTCGAATAATTTAATTTAGTTCGAATGATACGATCCGTTTCAAATTAAATTTTGTCAGTGCATTTATATCTCGAATAATTTAATTTAATTTGAATGATACGATCAGTTTCGAATGAAATTTCGTAGGTGTTTTTTTTATCAGAGTAACGCGGAAAAATAAGTAGACAAATTTCCAATCAGAATCTTCGAAACAATAAATAAAAAAAATTTTGCGAATTTTAAAAACAAAACATCTTGAACGCACATCTATGTTCCATATATGTATATGTTGCAAACATAAGATCACTATAATAATCTTTTTTTCTTCTAGTATATAATATGTTTCTTTCTTACATTGATAAAATGAGTCATCTGACACTCATCTGAGATCTTGTAAATCATGGATGTATAGATAAATTCGTATTTATAATCTGTATTACTGGATTTCCTGCCCTAAAATAGGATCGTGGCCTTTATTCGCGGGCATACATCAAGAATTATTTTAGAGATACGTTTCTTGTAAAATGGTGAGAAACAAATGAATTAGCAAAATGTAGAGGTTATGTTGTCCATAGCACGAGATAGTTGCAAAGCCGTGTTCGACATTTTTTCAGTATTCCTTACTTAATAAAACAGAAAATGCTCACGAAGATAGTATTTGGACCTGTGCTTGGGGCTGCTCGAACAAGAAAAGAGAAACACTACCGGAGAATGACGATTCACGGTAGATAAGGATAGTTAGGTTAGATGTTTGTTATTTCCATTCGATTGTCTACATATTTTGTATGGCGTTATAGTGATTCTATGCGATCCAATGAAGATGAAACAGTGGAGTACATAGTGACTGGCTCTGTTGATGATACCGTTAAAGTTTGGGTACAAAAAGATAAAAGTTTACAATTGAAACATACACTAACTGGTCATTCGCTGGGTGTAGTATCCGTTGCAGTAAGTTCAGATGGCTTGAGTAAGTAGTTAGTTAATTCGTTATCAACAACTAAAACAAAATATTATAACAATAATTTACTTGCAGAATGCGCATCCAGTTCTTTAGACTCCAGTTTAAAGCTATGGGATTTGGAAACTGGAGAGAAAATATCGAGTATCGAAGTGGGTCCTGTAGATACTTGGATGGTAGTATTTTCTCCGGATGATAAATTCATTGTATCTGGCAGTCATTCTGGAAAAATACATTTGTATGGAACAGAGAGTGGTAAACAAGAACAAATTTTTGATACCAGAGGTGGAAAATTCACAATTAGCGTTGCCTATGTAAGCATTCTTCTTTAAGATGCAGCACGAAACAGTTGTTCTAGGTCTGCATTATTATATTTCCTATTTTAGAGCCCAGATGGGAAATATATTGCTAGTGGTGCAATAGATGGAATAATCAATATATTTGATGTTACTTATGGAAAAGTGTTACGTACGCTAGAAGGTAGTTTAACAAATTAATTTTAACAATCGGTGCTTGACAAACATGTTGCACAAATTTATTCTTTCGAGGTCACGCGATGCCAATCAGATCGCTATGCTTCTCACCGGACTCGCAGCTACTTCTTACCGCGTCGGACGATGGGCATATGAAAATATACGATGTGTTAGTAACTTATTCCTTTACAGTAAATAAATTGAACATATAGCAAAAGGATCGATTATTCCTTTATTTTTCCATACAGGAAAGATGCTAATGTAGCAGGAACTATGTCGGGACATGCCTCGTGGGTACTCGGAGTTGCTTTTTCTCCAGATGGACAAAATTTTGCATCCTGTAGTTCAGATCAGACTGTCAAAGTTTGGGAATTAGCACAACGACAATGTCTACATTCGTTTCATGAACACAATGATCAGGTAGAATCTCCGCATCATGTGAAGTATTTTGTAATTTTATAATACTGATATAAACAATTTGTTTTCGTAGATATGGTCTGTGAAATATAGTCCGATAAGAAACAATATAATCGCCTCGGTGTCAGACGACAAATCTATCAATCTGTATGAATGTCCACCTTAAGATAAATAAATTTTCTTATAACGACGAATGAATAAATGCTTATATTTATTTCCTTTCCTTAAAATATTTTACATTTGCGAAGTATTATTTTGCTTTGACATGTGTACCTTAATAAAACGGAGCTGTATATTATTCCTACCACGATAGAAATGTCAAACAAAATAGACATTAGTAGCTATAAATTTTATTGTACTGCAATTATTAATATACAAATCGTTAAGATGTCTGCCAAATCTAAAATACAACGTAACAAAAAAACTGAATTACACTTAATATCTAACTAAATGACGGGTATTACAAAAGAACTGTGGAAAAGGAGTCTGGTGTACAGACCAAATCTCATATAAAGGAAAACATATAACTACCCTGATGTGGTTCCAAGTTGGAAGGGTTAAATCTAATTAACTCGAACTGGAACAGGGTAAAACACGAGTAATAAATCTCTGTAAATAATGCACATTAAAATCTACTCCATATCGCGCCAAACGGTTTCGTTCTAATGAGATCTTAAATCGTTTCGATGCACGTAGAAGGAAAGATGACGCGATATAGAAGAAAACAAAATATGTTCTTCAATGTCCAAAATATGCAGCAAATTTTCAATGAATCTAAAAGAAAAGAAAAGATATGGAAATAAAATTAATATAAAGTCCATGGCAAAGTTTCCGATTTTCAGACCTGTAGATACATAATTGATCCGTACACACTCTTCACTGTACCTATATTAATTTTAGACAGGGTAACGGTCGAATCCGTGTAGACATTTCTTACATGCAATTTGATTTTACGTAGTACATATGACCAAAATAGAAGCTACATCACCTGTTGATTTTTAAGTAGACTAGAAACTTAAAGTAAAGTTTACAAAATTTTGTTTTTTTTTTTCTTTTTTTTTCATATAATGCCAGTTTAGCGTTACTTAGACCGCTAACATCGATACAAATGTTACTATCTCTTTATCGTAACAATCTGTTGCGTCGAAGATGTCCAAGCTTTGTCCAAATCTTCATCGTGTTTCTATCAGTCTTTGAAAGTAATTAGACTTTGTATCCGTTGAAGGAATACAAATCAGTTACGATGGAAACAAAATACAGATCTCATTCCTTGCAAATTTACCTATTACAAAGATGTACAGCGACATATCTCCTGCGATATACACTGTGAGTCGTAATATATATAATATATATATCACTAAACTTTCTACATTTTCCATCCACGTTCAATATATACAAAATTGAATAAATAATCAAAGGTAATCACTGCTACGTACTACAGAAATTTTAAATTTCTTCCTAATCGTGGAATTTCTCAATACAATGTATATACAACACGCAAAGTGAATAGGAATGATATCAGAATTTCCAGCTACTATTTAACACTTTGTTCGTATCTCTTAAAAAACTTGCGTTGCGATGCAACAAACAATTATATCAGAGTGACCGTTTTACATTTAAAGTGTAAAAATCAATGAAATACGATGGAGATTTTCCGTGACATCGAACGATGAGGTAAAAAGAAATTATTAACTTACTTACTGAGTACTTGTAATGCGTATCACGCATCGATTAGTGGTCAACGCAATGCGAAGCAAATGTACAATGACTAGCCAGAAATGAAAAAGTGATGCTACAAAAGAAAAGATTAAAATTAAGATTTCCGTTAGTTGATCGGAGAGATCTCTTGATTTTCTTCGCTCCATATTGTTCTGATTAAGTTTTAACAAAAAAAAAAAGAAATAAAAACATGATTACTTTATAAATATAACGGGCTCTCTTATACTGTTGTTACTCTCGTAGAAGCTGTGACTATGTCGCTGTGACAATCCGTCGTTCCAAACCTACTTTCGCTCTCGTTTTGTGTAATTTTGGTTGTCTGCGAAGGAATGTCTGGCTTCGGATTATAATTGAAAGGTGGTACAATGGCGGAGGCAGGTGTACGCACACCGCCATTGACGTAAGTTTGTGCAGAGCCTTCTGCGTTCGCAGAGTCCACTCTTATGAAGGAACCAAGGCGCGATATTCGTTTCGTGGGGTCTACCTCCACGGCGGAAGACTCGGTGTTTTGCGACTTCCGTAAAATCACTGACGCGTCTCCCACCTGTACAGAGTCTTTCTTGTAGGTGGATGCATCGTTGGACTTTACGGGTATTTTGCAAGGTGCGTCGTTTGAATTCATTCCGCTCAAGTCGCAAGAGTTTCTATATTTCGCTTTGCTAGACTGCATCCCCACTACTAATGGTCTTTTCGATTTGGACTTGTACAATGTCGACTCCGTGTCATCGTTTTCCTGGGGTACGCCTTCGAACGTCGAACTACGGAACAATCTGAAAGCTGGTGGAGTATTCACAGGAGAAGGTCCGTCCACGTCGTTGGCACAACTGCCTGGCTGCACCCACTGTCTGGTGTCAGGCTTTTCGAATCGTTGCTTGCTCTTGCTCTCCTCTACCTTCTTCCAAAGACTCGCGATTTTGCTCGTCGCTTCTTTCGCTAGCCTTCTGGTCTGTATTCCCGTCGACGAATTGGAGACGATGCTGGAATTGCTGTTGGATCGTTGACCGAGTGGACCTATCTTGCGGAAAATCTTACCGTTCTCGGCTTGTACGCCGGTTTGATTGCTAGCTGGAATTTTCGTAGTCGCGGCTACTTTGCCCGTAGGCAATCGTTTCGGAGCCACCAGCAGCGGTGCCGTTTTGGGAGGCTTTTCCGGAGCTACTTTCCCGACTTTCGACTGATGCACCTGGTGCGTTTTCGGCGCGATTTTAGGTTTCACCATCGTAGGATATACTTTGGAAGTGGCTCCCTTGATGGGTTTCGCGATTTTCGTCTTAATCGGGGAAGAGGACGTAGAGACCACCAGGGGCGCGTTTTCCACTTCCGGTTCGTCTTTGGTAAACGTACCCTGCCGTTCTAAAGGCTTAACATCCGGCTTGGCGTCGTTTTGAAAATTCGAGGAACATGTAGGAGGCGTGCTGTGTCTTTTCACGGATTTAGTGAAGGTCAACGACGATCCCTTTTGAGGAACGGACGCTCTCTTCGCAGCTGCTGACATCTTCTTCGTTCGTTTCTCTCCGTCTGTTAACGAAGGAATTTTAGGACTCGAGTTTGCCTTTGGAGAATCTTTCATACCGTTACTTGGACTGTTGTTGTTCTGCCTCAGCGTGGTGGCTCGAGTAGCTCTCACGATGGGAGAGGTGTTGCTGCGACCAATGGGTATTCCGCTGACAGGATTCGGTTGCTTCAACGGGGACGACTGAGGCGTCGGTTTGCGCGTTATGGGGTTCGAGTAGAGAGCTTTCCTTCTGCCGCGAATAGCTTTAGGACTCTCCGGCTCGGACCTGTCCGTTGCGTTGGAATCGTTGCTGTGATCTCTTACCATTCCTGGTTTAATTATCCTCGGTCGCTTCGTTTCCCTGGGCTGTTCTTCGGCGTTGTTCGACTCGTTCTCGCTCTCGCTTTCCACGGTATCCGCGTACCTGATGTCCTCCTGAGATCTGTTCGTCTCAATTTCGACCGTCTCCTTCTGATTTTGCTCGGATTCCAGCGCTTCGTCCATTTGCTGGCTGCAGGCACCTATCAGTTTCTTCGAGACACCGTTCAGAAATCGCATTCGCAGATTTCTTTCCGACTCCGATTCGTTGGACACCAGACTGATCGTCTCGCAGTCTAACAACGGTTCCTCCCCGGTCTCGTTAACCTTGGTCGACTCGTTCAAGGTGTTCAGCACGATGGTAGCGTTCTGCTGCAACATGATTTGAATTTCCTCGGACTGGGCGATGCGCGTCGCGTTGGACTCGCCACCTTCCGCCGTGTTCGCGGCGGCGTTGTTCTCTGCTTCTCTGAATATGCACTCGGAGTCGTCTAACGTCCTCGTGCGATACCTCTCGCGATTCTTTTTCTGTTCCATACGTTTCTTGATCAGCGTTTTGCAGCCAGACAGTTTAGTAAACGTAGGAATAGCAGATTTAACGGCAGACGACGGTTCCGTTTCGGGATTCTCTTGCTCGCGGACATCGGCTTCCTGTTGCACTTGACTCGGTTGAGGAAAAGGATTCTCTAACACCTGCGTCTGGAATCTGGCTCTGTCCTCCTGCCTACGTTGCTTGGGTGTCAGCTTGGAAAATGGAGAACACTTCCCGCGTGGGATCTTTCCCTCCCGCGCGCTACCATTTTCCTTTTTGTCCCTCTCCTCTTCCTTTCTACTCATCTCCGCGGCTATGGTGTACGTTTTATACCTTTCTTTGGCCAAGGTTCGTTTCTGTTTAGGCGTCAGATTTCTATGCGCCCGTTTCTTGGGCGTGGACTCTGCTGAACTGGTGAGACAATACTCGGAAGAAATCGGAGTGACTGCTTCGTCGGTGTCGTTGCTACCTTCGTCGATCTTTTCCGTGAAGATCTGGTGCGGAGCCTCCTCGGTGCGCAATTCGACGTCGATGCACAACGTGTCGCTGCAGACGGTTTCCGTGGCCTGCTCCATCGTCGACTCGTCCATTTCGCAGACTTCGTTGAACAAAGATGGCGGATTGATGTTCTCCAGACACTCGCTCAAGCTGTTGTTAGCGCTGCTCTGCATGGCCTCGGCGTAACGCATGCAAGTTATGGAGAGGACGTTCGCGACAGGCTTCAGCAGGTCGAAGACAGCGTCGCTGCTGGTTAAACTCTGGTCTTGGTCTTTGGGATCGGCTACCTCCGACGTGATGCTCGCTACGCTTACCATGCTGTTCTCCATGTCGCCAACGTCTGGTAGCTCGTCCATCATCGACGGTGGCTTCACGCTGTCCAAATGTGATCCGCTGCACTCGTTCAATAAATTCTCTAGACTTCCCGTGTGAGTCTGAGTCTGATTGAGAGCTCGTTTAGCCACCACGCCGAGGGGAAGAGACTTCTTGCGACAGTTTTTGAAGTCCGTGAAGGACGAAGTCTTCAGCTGCATCGGTGGAAGGGACGTGGAGTTGCATCTGTCTCTGTTAACGAACGTCTCGCTGTAATCGCCCGAACCCGCGTAACTGGCTGTCAAGGACAACAAGCTCCCCATCGTGGAAGGGGGTTTGATTGCTTCCAAGTCCATGGACGTCATGCTCGTCATTTCTAACTCGTTCTTGTTTATCTCCGCGTCTACGGCCTCGGCCAGCTTGATAGCTTCTCGTTGAATGATCTTGGAGTTCGTCATGTGACCGCCATCGCTACTTGCCGTTTCCACGCATTCCGAGGTAATGGTCGTTTGCTCTTCGGGCACGTCGCTCTTGAACGAGGCGATGATAGGAGCGCTGATGCTGATACTGGGGAAGGAGACTTCGTTAGGAGAATCCTCGTTCCACGTGTCGCTCAATATGCTCTGTTTCATCGCGCTGGAATCGCGTTCGCGTATCGCTTCCGTCTGCTGCACCAGAGTCGCGGTTAAACGGTCTAACGATGCGATCATAGCGTCGGGATCCCTCTGACGCCGATACATTTCCTCTTTCTTCCCGTGTTTCGGTGTGTCGGGGTTCTTCATTGTCGATTTTTGATTTCCGTCGACCTCCTCTCTCAAAACGCCGTCCACTTCGCACGTGTCGTGCATCTGACTGCTCTCACCCGAATAATTCGTTTGTTTCGAGCTACATTGATCTAGATCTTTATTAGATTTCCACGTAGCTTTGTTGTGCTTAATGTTTTCGATAGTCTTCGTTAATCCAGGTTGAATGCACAGTTCCAGGAGCGCATGTTCGGATTGCTCGACCGAGTCGATCGATTCGCTGCTCTCAGAATCCGTTACTTTTGTGTAAGACTGCTGCATAGAGTTCTCAGCGATTCTATCATTCAAGGATTCCGAGACTTTGTCGATCTCGCTGTCCTCCGCGTTTCTTTCATCTTCGAGAAGATCATTGTGAACCAAGGATGACATATCTTCGTTCGATTGAGTATCCATGCTAGACAAGTACTGCTGTTGGCTCGGCTCTGTGTCGAAGACTACGGTTTCGTGTAATATTGGACTGTTCCTCAGATTCGAAGGCAATGAAAAATTGCAAAGGTTGTCGTCCGTGATCGAATTGTGTACCATCTACATGAAAGAATTCAGTGATAAATTTAAAAAAAAAAAGACATGCTATGGATTTTGGGATAACAGATATGGTACCTTTTGATTCAACATTGTTGTATTCTGGCTATAATCGCACGCAATGTTTATATTTGGCGAACTGCTCGCAACTTTGTTTTCACAAATATCGGAACTCATTGTTTCCTCGCATGCTATTCGATTCGTGTCGAGGCTGTTCGCGGTAGATTCGACCAATACATTGCACTCCATTTGATCTAGAGCAACGCTCGTCTGATACCTGGCTAGATTGCTTTCGTTTCGCGGAATCTTATCGAAATTGTTTCCTATGAATGAATGCCTGTGTCTGAAACAAAACCAAACGGACGGTAAGGCGCGGTTAGGATGTAAAAATACCAGTTTCTATATTACATTTATATGAAATAAAAATGAGATAAAATTCTTTACCTATTATTTTGCATTCCAATATTAATGCAAGCTGTAAGCAGATCTTCGTCGTCCTCATCTCCATCACTGACTTGATCTAAACATTCGGAAGAGTTGTTTATATTTAATGTACAAGGCATGTGACGCGTATCGCCTTTTAGTTCAAATTCCTTACATCCTGAATCGTTAGAAGCCTTGAGTGCACTGATCACGTACGAATTAATTCCGTTTGCAGGAAAATTTTGATTGAATTTATCGGTATTTTCGTAAATTTCATTTTCAATTTCGTAACATTCTTCCACATCTGTAACGAGACATTCGTGCGTCTTAAAATATTGAAACGATATTACGTAATAATTCAGAGTGCGATTAATTTACCTGATCTAATTTTTGTAGAATTGGACGCCATATTATTTTTCTCATCGTAATGCAAGTTGTTCGACGACATTTGTGTTAACGTAGTTCTCAAACTGTTAACAAACAATAAGGGCATTCATTTATATATATCAAAGGGGAGCAAATATTCCTAACGCAAATATACAAACCTCGATGGACTTTTGGTAGAAGAATGTCCACTCTCTTCAACATTATCGTCCGAGAGTTTCACTTTGCATTCCAAGTTGAATTCCTCTTTATCCTGAAGTTTCCTCTGTTCCTGCATCTTCTTCGTCGAATTCCTCAGTCGATTGTCCTCCTGCAGATCGGAAGCAGACGCGGCTCTGGAGGAGTTCAACGAGATTCCATGAGGTGTTCCCTCGGTGCAGTAGGTCTTCACCGTGTCCTCGTGAATGAGTTCCTGCTCGTTGCTGGCAAAATAATGGGAGCGTTGCTTGTCCTCGTCCTCCAAACTCCTTTCCGCATATCGCAGACTGTAATCAGTCGGTTGATCCAAATCTGTCTCGGCGTAGAACAAATTGCCGTTCGCGACGGTCGGAGAGATGGCTTTCTGTATGTTGTTCAACGGACTCAGCACGGACTTGTCGTAAATGTTGCCAAAACCGACGTCCTTTGCCGGCGAGTCGCTGCTGACGAAGGCCAACGTCGACGGTTTATCGATCCCAGGCTTGCATTGGTACTCAGTTTTCCCGCACACCAGCTCGGTTTCCTCGGACACGCTGGACTGGCTACCAGCCTTCGACGAGATGCTCTGGGGCAAGTTATCCTCGACCGAAGAGTGAAGCAAGTTTTGGGAACAGGCGGATTCTTGGTCCGGCGCCGAGGACCATGAGATCGTCGAGTTGGTGCACCGGAAATCGCTGAGACCGTTGAAAGTCTCGGACGACTTCAAACGGTCAGGGATAGCGTTCTTGTAACGCAACGTGTACTTTTTCTCGGAGGTTTTCGAGTGACCATCGCTGGTCATCCCCGTGTCGAACCCGACAGCGGAGTGCAACGACGAGGACTGCTGTTTGATCTGGATGTCGGTAGGGGAGAGTCCGTTCATCACGTGACGATTCACTCTCTCGAACATGGTGTCCGAGTGGGTGCTCGTCACGGACCTCATGGAGTCCCTGCTCTCGCTCCTGGCGACCCCGTTGGACTTTACGCTGGACGTGCTGGGTTGATTGTGTAACTGGTACGTGCGCAGAGCTCGCGCGTTGATCCCCAGGAAGCTGTGATCCACCTTAAACATAAATTTATCGTCCTTGTTCGTGGGAGACGTGCTGGGCTCGATGTTGTCGCAAGTCTCGGCTAGGTTCTGATCTATCTCTTGCTCCAGCGCTCTCTGTCTCCGAGCGACCAAGGAGGGCAGAGTTGGAAGCCCTAATCCGCGAGCCGTCGAGTCCAAATGAACCAGGTTGTTGCACCCTGGCCTGGCGCTCAACAGATTCTTCAGCGCCGCGCTGGAACCCATAGAGATCATTTTGTGCTTCGAGTGGATGAGACTGCGTAGCATGGGGACAGCGCCTAGATCCCACAGCAATCGCTGGTCCTGCGGGCATCGAGCCGAGAGATTCCAGAGCGCTCCGCAAGCATTGCTTACGACCGTCAGACTCGGCGATCGCAGCTGTTGCAGCAAAACTTGAAGACATCCCCTTTCTCTCACGATGGATCGGTAGTCCTCCCTGACCGCAATGTGACTGGAGACGTTCCTCAGTATACCTCCGGCGTTCTCGACGATCGCGAGCGTTTTGGACGGCGCTACGTAGCTTAACATATCCACGAGAAACGTGAGGGCACCTTCCACGGCGCAGATGTCTATTTTATTCGTGCTGCAGTGCGCGGAGAGGTTCCAAAGGGCCGACAGAATAGACTTGAGCGTCGATTCCTTTCGACCTTCCATCGCTGCTTTCATCAACCCGGTCACGGCACCGACTTCCCTCAACGTCTGCTTGCTGCTGGTGTCGGCTCGCCACGACAGATTCCTCAAGACGCTTGCCGTCACCTGTCTGAGATCGTCGCTGGGACTTCGCAGCTGCGATACTAACGCCTTCATGAACTCTCGGAAGGAACAGAGGAGCGCTTTGTTGTTCCCGTCCCCGAACGTCAAGTTCGTCAGCGCCATTCCAGCGTACCTGCGTAGAGTGATGCAGTTCGGGTCGTCGCATTCGCTCCCGTGAGCCATGTGATCCATCTCGATGAGCTCCGCCACCGCGTGGAGGACACCTAGTTGGCACATAGCGTGACGATGGGCCTCGTCGAACGAGAGCTTCATCAGCGCGGCTATCGTCGGTCCCGGATGTCTCTCCAAGTCGTCGGGGACCTGTCCCGTTTCCAAAGAAGATCTCAGCGCCTGGCAATAGTCTCTCAATTGCTCTAAAAATCGGAGAACCCTAGCCTCCCGACGTCCGGCTCTCTCGTCGCTTTTAGCATGTACTATATTGTGCAGAGCCCTCGAAGCTCTCTCTCTGGTCTCTGGATCCTGCCCGGGAGCGTGAATCAACTGCACCAACAAAGGCAGGCATCCCGATTGCCTCATTATCAAACAGTTGTCTATCGAAGTGCTCATCGACAGCAGCGTCGCGCTCATGTCCTCTCCGCCTTCCGTGCTCCCCAGCATTCCCAGGAGGTTGTAAACCACGTCCACTTTGGCTCCCAATCGTCGATCGCCTTGCATCTCCGCGGAACAGGACAGCGCCGTGCCGGAATTCGAGGAAAAACTCATCACGCTGGCTACATCCTGTGGGACAGGGTGACAAGGGAAGATCGATAATTAAAATTTCTATTTATAAGATTAAACGTTCTTTTTCTTTAACGTATAATAAAAAGTGACTTACGTTATGTACAGTGGTTGACGGGCTTTGTTGAGTGGAGAATCCCATTTGTTGATTGGCCCAAAGGTCTCTTCTAATGGGCCAGGTCCCTCGATAAGAGGAAGGTAATCTGTGACTCTGCAAAGACGTGTCTGGCTTACTCTCTTCCTCGCTGCTTCCACCTTCATTGTAGCGTTTATTCCTCCTTACGTAAATCTGTAAAAGAATTAAATAAACGTTACATTCAAGAAAGAAAACAAAAAAAAAAAAACGACAGATTGAGTTAAGACAAGCCGATAAATAAACCGATGCGGAATCTCGATGGGACTAAAATTGCGCAAGACCGTCTCCGATATAGTATAAGAGAAATAAATAAAATAAATGTCTCGCGCATTTCTGCGTAAATCGCGAACGGGGCACGATGAATTCTCGCGTAAAGGTTCAGGGCGGCAGGGGGCGAGTTAAAGGGCGGCGAAAGAGAAAGGTGGAGAGATAAGAAGCGCGCGAGGAAGAGAAAGAGATGTCGGCGTGTACGTGTGCGTAAACGTGCACAGCGAAGGTAGAGAAAGATAGAATGGAGCTCTCCGTAAAATCAATACGCGGCTACGTTGGCGGACGTGTATATAGCAGGAACTCGTGCTCACAAGCACGAGGGGCACACCAGTGGTATCCAACCATTTCTTCTTCGTCGCAACATAATACCCTCGAAATAAAGAAAACAACTATCCAAAGTTTTCGAGTCGAAGGAATAAGAAAGAAGAAAACAAGAAGAAAAAAGTAATGCAACGCACAGGTGTGTCGAGCCTCCCGAGGAATTCATGCATGCATTACTCTGCGTTACATAACAATGCAGTAGTCCGCGATCCTCGAACGTGCATACAAATCTTAATTTGAACATTCGTGTAAACAGACAGGGTTCGTTGCTCTTTCAATGATATTACAAATTACAAGATGTATTTAAATTTGCTCTCGGCGACGAAATATGGATAATTACGTATGGATCAAAAGCAAACGTATCTCAATTGAAAAACGTTAGGCTGCAATGGAAGGTGGGTAAGACGCGTCCGGTAACATGGATACGATTACGAAGACGACTCCCCTCCGTTGGGATTTATGGTCGTGAAAAGAAAAACACTCCATTCAGAACCCATCGCATTCCACCTGTTCTATCTTCGCGTTACAGGTTTCTCCCAACTGAAAAACACCACGTATCTCTGGTTCGATCAATTTCGCCGTCGACTGGTTCTCCCGGTGGACCGGAGATGGCCAACACTTTGTTCGAACAATAGCTCGCGGATCGAACGAACGCGCACGCAATTTATTCGTAACGTTTCGCAGTTCGACGTTCTTTTCTCTCCTAAAACAAAAGTTTCCGAGATGAAATTCAATTACAGGACCGAAATTGGATTTTGTAGAACGAACGATGGATTTATTCTTGTTATCGGAAATTGTCATCTAGATAAAAGAACGGTGCCCGTCCGTGATTCTAAACACAGCTCCACGGGATGAAAAGAACGACAGTGTGAAAAAGAACGAAGCGAGATGGACGGCGGGAGCAGAGAAGGACGACAGAAAATCGAAGGTACCGATGAAATTTACCTCGGGGCTCGGCGTGGACGACCTTCGTTCGTCCTCCTCCTTCACTTCCGGCTCCATGGCATCCTCCTTGCAGG